CGTACGTAGTAGTAGTAGTAGAGAGAGAGAGAGAGAGAGAGAGAGAGAGAGAGGAGAATTTGTGGTGAGAGAAGAGAGGAGGGAGTGGTTGGTCGAGTGGGCAACTTCATTGGACAGGTCTTTGGACAGAGAGAGAGAGAGGCAAATTTGTGGTAGAGAGAGAGTAGTTGGTAGAGAGGGCATCAATATTTAGAGAGAGAAAGAGGTGGTGGGAAAATAAAATCATTCTTTGGGTTTTAATTTGATTATTGTATAGCTATTATGTGGGCCTTAATTTGATTATTAGATTGGATGGCGAATGGTGTGGGATTCCTTGTTTTTGTGGCAAAAAAGTTTGAAGAGAGAGGGAGGGAATGTGTGGTGGAGCAGAAGAGAGAGATAGAGATATTTCTTTGGTGAGGAGGCACCTCTAGAGAGAGGCTGGACACCTAGAGAGAGATGTATTTTGGTGAGAACCAGTTATGGACGAATCAGCCGGTCCAACTCGGAACTGGTTGAGTAGTGAAGCCGGTTTTGGGGTCCGACCAGTTATTTTAAAATAAAATTAAAAATATATATAAAATCTTAAATATTAAAGAAATTGTTTGTCAAATATATTTTTTTATTATTTTGGCAATTTAGATTATTTCGAAAATATCTTTGTGTACAAATAGATTTTAAAAATCTACTTTTTGACACTACTTTTCAACTTTATTTAGATGTGTTTTGTTTAAATATATTTTTATAAATTTTTTTATTTTTGTTAACATTTTTTTTTGATAAAAAAAAACAAAATTTGTGCTAATAGTATTCGACGTGCCTGGGACCTGGAGCTGCCCAATTAGGTTACTGGCCAGTTTTCAAGTTACTCTGACCTCCAGGTCCGATTCGATTTGTACCGAGGTGCCACCGCTAGAGACCAAATCTAGAGAGAGAAAAATAGGAAAATGGGACACGAATGAGCAAGTCTTTTAATTTAAGCATATCATCTTATATTCCCCTCATTGTCTCGAAAATCTTTACTTAAAACACCTAGAGAGAGAGAGAGAGAGGAAGGGCTCCCTTGTAGAGAGAGAAAGATAGAGATGGTTCCCGTGTTTTGGAAGAAAAGAATATTAAAAACTTTAAATATGTGGCTGCAAATTTGGTAGCAACAACCAATCATATATTCTCTTGATTGAATTTGAAACCCGGATCTTTTCTAATACAACCGAAAGACCATCTTCTTTTATAAAGTAGCTACAAACAAATGACGTTTATGATTTGCAAGAGATCGTGTGGACGACGTTAAGAGTAGCTCCTCCAAACGTTAGAGAGAGAAAATATTGAGAGCTAGAGAGAGAAAATACCGACAGCTAGAGAGAGACTCCTGTGGATTTGAACTTCGAAACCATGGCGCCACATGAAAGTTTAAGCGTTGCTCCACCAAACGCTGGAGAGATAAAAGATTGAGACCTAGAGAGAGAGAGAGAGAGGAGATTCCTAGAGAGAGAAGATTGAGCGTTAGAGAGAGAGAGAGACACCTGTGGATTTGAACTTGGAAGCCATGTCCCCACATGAAAGTCGAGGTTTGCCAACAAACATTCCCCACTTTCTTTTTCAACCATACAAAAACTCCAGGAATTTCTTTTTAGTTTTCTTTTCAAAATAATTAAAATTTTCTATCTTTTTTTATCTATGGTTAGAGAAATATTGGCTAGATGCTCCTGGAGGAGTAAATTGTATGCGTACTCCTTTATTTAAATTATTGCCAAGGGGCATAGGACCTCAAATTTTGGAGATGTAATCTCTTAGACCAATTTTATAAAATCTAAACAAAAATAATAAAATAAAAATGCATTAAAAATCTCTATATATCCAAGGAACTCATGCCTTTGTGGTATACGATAAATAGTTATAATTTTGAGATTATATACTATGAGGCCATTTACTTTTGATACAAAGATGTCACATTTACTTGCAATCATTTAATGTGAAATTCAATAGCTTTAGTGCGTTATAAAGTTTGAAAAAATTTCTTTTAAAGTTTAAACTTGGTCAATGGAATAAATACAGCGATCGAATTTCACATCAAATGATCAAGATTCATTGCGACCACCTTGTACCAAAGATAAATGGTCTCATTATAACTACTTTTTCAATATTTTTTTATAGTGTATTTTGCTTCTACATCACACATTCAAGAAACAACACATTCAAGAAACAATGCATTTTGCTAGTAAGAATAATGTCCTAGGTTTGAAAAATAATTTTTTGTTTTGTCATATATAAATATAATGGAGCATTAACTGTGGGACTAGAGCGTAGCACATGATGTTGAGGCACCTGCCTTGTAATCACTAATGCTCAAATCCTATTCCCTAATAAATAGTTTTTTCTCACTGTCATTGC